CTTCCTCCCTCCCTCCCTCCCTCCCTCTCTCCCTCCTGCCCTCCCACCTGTCTCTCAGGGTCCCACCCACGTGGCATCCTTAGGAACTGGTCACTGATGTGCCCCCAGTGGACTGAGAGCTCCCTGCCCCAGCAGCAGGCAGAGTCCTCCAGTCAGAGGTTCTCTTCTGCACGGCCCAGACCTGACAGTGGCCGTCCCATGCTTTTGGAGGAGAGGAAGGAGGTCTCGGCAGAAGCCCTTCTCTGCTCACTTAAAAACCTTCCCAGAGAACTTGCACCTTCAGAAAGGTAGAGTAGATGTGTCCTTCTTGGTTCCTCCTGCTCAGTACAACACAGAACTCTGGACGTTATGTGTAAAACAAACTCAAAAAGGTTGAAAGAAGATGGCAGACCAGCTAGGGATCTGGGGACCTGAGGATACCTTGATCTGAATGAAAATGAAAAGACAACATGTCAGAACTTCCCTGGTGGTCTAGTGGTTAAAAATCCACCTTCCAATACAGGGGACTCGGGTTTGATCCCTGGTCCAGGAACTAAGATCCCACATGCTGCGGGGCAACTAATCCCATGCACCACAACTAGAGAGAAGCCTGGGCACCGCAACGAAAGATCCCACATGCCACAACGAAGATCTTGCATGCTGCAACTGAGACCCAATGCAAGGCTTCCCTGGTGGCACAGTGGTTAAGAATCTGCCTGCCAATGCAGGGACATGGGTTCGAGCCCTAGGCTGGGAAGATCTCACATGCTGCAGAGCAACTAAGCCCACGCACCACAACTACTGAGCCCACGTGCCACAACTCCTGGAGCCCATGCTCCGCAACAAGTGAAGCCACCACAGTGAGAAGCCCGCACACCACAACAGAGTAGCTCCCGCTCACCACAACTAGAGAAAGCCTGTGCTCAGCAACAAAGACCCAACACAGACAAAAAAAAGACCCAATGCAGCCAAATAAGTAAATAAATATTTTTTTTTAAAAAAGAAAAGACAACATGTCAAATTTTGTGGCACCCCAGCTAAAGCTGTGCTGAGAGGGAAATTTGTAGCACTAAAAGCATACATTAAGGAAGGGAAAAAAAATCTTAAATCAGTAATCTAAGCTCCTCAAGAATCTAGAAAAAGAAGAGCAGAATGAAACCCAAGGCAAGCAGAAAAAAAGAAATAATAAATACCAGAGCAGAAATCAATGAAGTTAAAAGCAGAAAAACAGAGAAAGTCAGTGAAACAACTGGGTCTTCCATAAGATCAATAAAATTGACAAACTTCTAGGAAGCCCGACAAAGAAGAAAGAGAAGACAATTTAAAATATCAAGAATGAAACGGGAGCATTACTGCAAACCCTGCCGACGTCAAAAGGATAATAAGGGGATACTGTGAACAACTCTATGTGTGTAAATTCGACAACTTAGGTGAAATGGACCAGTTCCTCAAAAAACACAACCTGCTACGACTCACACAAAACTAAGTAGAATTTGAATAGGCCTATACTTGTTAAGGAAATGATTTGCAGGTCTAGATAGTTTAATTGGAGAATTTTACCAAACAGTTAAAGAAAAGTTAATACCAATTCTGCATGATTTTTTTCCCAGAAAATAGAAGAGGGGGAATACTTCCCAGTTCATCTTCTGAGGTTAATATTACCCTGATACCAAAACCAGATAAAACAGTCTCCCTGCAAAAAAACAAGTCTGTCATAGATACACATATATATGAATGTTCTTAACTAAATATTAGCAAATAGAAGCTCCTCTCCCTGCAAAAGAAATTCATGACCAAAGGCTGGTTCCATATTTGAAATTCAGTCAGTGTAATTCACCATATTAAAAACCACATGATCATATCAGAGCAGAAATAGGATCTTATAATATTTTGCATCTATTCATGATCAAACTCTCACAAAGTAACAATAGAAAAAAATAACAGAAGAATTACCTGGACATGATGAGCATCTACAAAACTCCAACCACTACGTTATACTTACTGGTGAGGACTGAATGGAATGCTTTCTCCTAAGGTAAGGAACTGGGCAGAGATGTCTGATCTCACCAGTCTTATCACAGTCCTGGAGGGTGTAGCCAGTGAAATAAGGCAAGAAAAGAAAATAATCACATGCAGGTTGAAAAAGAAGAAATAAAACTGACTCTACAGATGACAAAATTGTCAAAAAATCTAAATGTACCCCCCCCAAATTCTTGCATTAATAAGTGAGTTTAGCAAGATTGCAGGATATGATATAAACATATAAAAACCAACTGTATTTTTGTATACTAGTAATGAACATGTTGACACTGAAATTAAAAATACAACACCATTTACAATTGCTCAGAAATGAAATGCTTAGGTATAAATCCAACAAAACATTTTTAGGATTTATATGCTGAAAAGTATAGGTGCTGATGAAAGAAATAAAAGAAGATATAAGTAACTGGAGAAACATATCATGTTTATGAATTCCAAGACTCAAAGATGTCAGTTCTTCCCAAATTGATATATGGTATACAGCACAGTTCCTATGAAAATCCTAGCAAGAGTTTTTGTAGATGTAGATGAGATTCTGGAATTTATATGGAAAGGCAAAGGATCTAGAATACTTCAAGTAACTTTCAAGAAGAATAAAGTGGGAAGACTCCATCTACCTGGTTTTAAGACTTACTACGTATATACTTGATACAGTAATTATGACCGTGGTATTGGCAGAGGGATAGAACCGGAGATCAGTGGCACAGAATGAGAACTCAGAAATAGGCCCGCAGAAACATGTCCAGCTGAGTTTTGACAAAGATGCAAAAGCAGTTGAATAGAGGAAGGATTACCTTTCCACAAGTGGTACTGGAGCAACTGGACATCTATAGGCAAGAAAATGGACATCGACCCAAGTCACACCTTACACAAAAATTGACTCAGAATGGTGCATGGACTTATGTAAAATACAAAACTCCACAGCATTTAGAGAAAGTAGAAGAAAATATTCGGGGTCTGGGGCTAGGCAGTGAGTTCTTAGACTTGACCCCCAGAGCATGACCCATAAAGAGAAAAAATGATAAATAGGACTTCATCAAAATTGCAGACCTTTGCTCTGCAAAAGTCCCTGTTAGGAGGATGAGAGGAAGCTGCAGCGTGAGAGAAAATGTTTGCAAACCAGTACCTGGGAGAGGACTAGGATCTAATATGTGTAAAGAACCCTCAAAACTCGTTGGGAAACACACACACGGGGACCCGCTGGAAAGAAGGCAGAAGACGGGAGGAGACGCTTCAATGGGGAGGATGTAGACGTGCAGTTAGGGGATGCGCACTGGACACCACAGCAGGGAGACCGCCTGTCGAGCTGCTGAAATGGCAAATGTGACCATAGTAGGTGCAGTTAACTTCCAACTGCCATGTGACCCAGCAGTTGCCATCCTGGACATTTACCCCAGAGAAACAGAAACTTCTCTGAACACAGATACTTAACAGCAGATTTATTGGTAACAGCCAGAAACTGGAGACCAGTCAGATGTCCTTCCATGGGCAAGAGGCTCACCAAACAGGCAGGTACACGGTGCAGAGCAATCATTGGAGTCAGAGAGGAACTCTGGGTCTGCACATCGACGTGGGTGGCCTGTCACGGCGGTGACATACCACATGATCCCGTTCAAGCCACACTCTGGAAATGACAACTTGGGGAACAGGTGGTGGTTGCCAGGGACTGGAGGGTGGGGAGTGGATGTGACTGTAAAGAGGGAGACAGAAACGTCCTGTGTCTTGATGGAGCCGACGTCAGCACCCAGGCTGTGATGTGCTGAGGCCCACAAGCTCTTCCCCCGGGGAGTCAGGGTGAAGGATGCGGGGTATTTCTTACAATTACATGTGGATCTACACTTACCTCAAGATGAAAACTTTAGTTAAAAAAAAAAAAAACCTCCCCAGATGCCCACCATTGGTGGGAGAAGACCTAGCCCCATGGTGTGTTTCCTGCCCACTGCTTTGTCCTCTGCCCTTTGCCCCATCCACCTCTCCATCCCCTTGTGGTGCTACCCACAGCCTGGGTGTCAGTGACCGGCCCTGTAACACAGGCCCTGGGGCTTCCCGGTCCTGCAGGACATCTCTGCTGGCAGAGCACATGGGCACAGCAGGAGGCCCTTGTGGGCTGTGAGAGGGGGGCCTGGAGGCAGTGGGGCCGGCTAGGCAGAGAGGGTGTGCCTCCTGGGTGCAGTGGAAAGCAGGGGTGAGGTTGAGGACCAAAATCTAAGTAGGGGGTGAGTTTTCTCCCATAACTGAAGACTGCTGTTTGTTTGATTTTGTATTTCACTTTTGTGCTCACCAGGTCATATCATTTGTTATTTGCAAACAAGCAGATTTTTTTTTTTTTAATTCTTATTTATTTATTTTTGGCTGCGTTTGGTCTTCGTTTCTGTGTGCAGCCTTTCTCTAGTTGAGGCGAGCTGGGGCTAGTCTTCATTGCAGTGTGTGGGCTTCTCACTGCAGTGGCTCCTCTTGTTGCGGAGCGCAGGCTCTAGGCGTGCAGGCTTCAGTTGTTGTGGCATGTGGGTTCAGTAGTTGTGGCTCGCGGGCTGTAGAGCGCAGGCTCAGTAGTTGTGGTGCACAGGCTTAGTTGCTCTGTGGCATGTGGGATCTTCCTGGACCAGGGCTCGAACCCGTGTCCCCTGCATTGGCAGGCGGATTCTTAACCACTGCGCCTCCAGGGAAGCCCCAAACAAGCAGATGTTGAAAGTGGAGTCAGGGGTGGGGGAAAGGTGGAGGCGACCAAGGGCCTCACTGAAGACAAGGCTTTGATTTCCTTTGGGTCCCCGTGCAGCTGTCACCTTTAGGGGCAGGGGAAAGACAGAGATTCTGTTCTTACTCTTGTAGAAGCCCAGCGTCACCTCAGGGCCCTGAATCATCTTCCACTGGGAAGAGGTTGGGTGGGGGACAAGGATGGTGTGCCCAGCAAAGATCCAGTCAGACCATGAGGAGGAAGTCGGCAGGGCTGCACACACGCATGCACACACATGTGCACACACACGCACACCCCCGGTTCTCCCGGCCCACAGGTGTATGCCCACGCGGGTGCCACACTGGATGGGAAGATGTACATCACGTGCGGCCGCCGGGGCGAGGACTACCTGAAGGAGACCCACTGCTATGACCCGGGCAGCGACACCTGGCACACGCTGGCTGACGGGCCGGTGCGGCGGGCCTGGCATGGCATGGCCACCCTCCTGGATAAGCTGTACGTGGTCGGGGGCAGCAACAACGACGCGGGCTACAGGAGGGACGTGCACCAGGTGAGCGGCGGGGTGCCCACCTTCCACTCGTCACCGATAAAAGTTGCCGTGGGGGCGGGTTTCCCTTGTAACAGACTAATTTTTAGAGCAGTTTTAGGCTCACAGCCAAGTTGAGCAGGAAGATTTCCCGTGTGCCCCCGGCCCCCACACACCACGGCCTCCCCAGGCTCAGCATCCACCAGAGGGTGTCATTGTTATAACCGATGACCCTACACTGGCCCGGGGTCACTCCTGGTGATGCACATTCTGTGGGTTTAGACAGATGGCATGTATCCACCATTAGAGTATCACACGGAAGAGTTTCACTTGTCTTTATTATTAAAAACTTTAATTACATAAAGTTAATGTAACCACATTACAGAGCTTTGAACAAATGGAGAAGTGTGAAGAAAAACTCACATAACCTGGCCCTGTGCCACTAGCTTCAGCCCTCCTACCTGTGCGTGGTTTCCACTTAATTGTACTCAAAGAGCATCATCCCATTTGGTTTCTGGCTCAAGTTTGTTGTGGGCGTGTCTTCTAGTTTGATGACCACCCCACCCCCACCCCACCCAGTGGCTGTGCAGAATTCCATCAAACTGGTGACGTTTGGGTTGGTCAAGTTGTGGCTATTCCAGGTAACATTTCAAGTAATATTTGCTTTATAGAGCTTTTGGGTATTTGGGGGTATTTCCTGAGGTGAGAGCAGTGGTTCTCTAAGTGTGGTCCCCGGGCCAGCAGCACCCACATCACATGAGAACTCATAAGAAATGCAGATTCTCTGGCCCCTCCCAGACCCACTGAGTTGAAGTTTCTGGGTGGGGTCCTCCAGTGTTGAGAACCATTGGGCTTTAGCGTTTTCGTTTTCTATTGCAGCCGGGACAAATCACCACAAATTTAGCCACTTAAATCAACACAAGTGTGTTACACGTCTGTGACTCTTACCAGACGACAATCCAGGGGTCTTTCCTTTGTGGGGCCTGGGGAGGATCCACATCCTCCTCACCTAGGGTGTCAGTGGAGTTCAGTTCCCTGTGGTTGTAGGACTCAGGTCCCGATTCCTTGGCTGCTGTGGGCTGAAGCCCTTCTCGGCTTCTAAAAGACTCCACGTCCCCCGGGTCAGGCCCCTTCCTCTTCTAAGCCAGCAGTGGCAGCTTCCCCTCCCTTTTCAGCCCCCATCAGACTTGCCCTTCTGTTTCCAAGGGCTTGTGTGACTAGGTGGGTCCCCCCAAAAATCCAGGATAACCTCCCATCTCCATGTCCCCACCCTAATGAGTCTGTAGGGTCCTTCTTGCCATGTAAAGTAATACAAGTCCCAGAGATCTGAGCACAGGCTCCTTTGAAGGCCATTCCTCCTCCTGCGGCTGGAGAACCGGAGGGGATCATCATTGAGTCACGGGGTAGTGTCCGAGTGGCTCTTGATAATTTTGCATGTTGCTGTGCTGGCTGGTCAGACAGGTGCACAGCAGGACAGCTTCACCACGCCTCCACCAGCCCCGGGCTTGTGCCTTTTCTTCCCCAGTGGCTGCTGGTTAACAGCTGACAATTTGTCCCTGATGTTTTATTTTGCATTTCTTGGATTACTGGTAGGCTGAACATTTTCCCATGTATTTGTTTACTGTTTGGAGTAATTTTGAAGAGAAGAGATTTTTTTTTTTTTTTGGCTGCACTGCATGGCTTGTGGGATCTTAGTTCCCTGACCAAGGATCAAACCCAGGCCCCAGCAGTGAAAGCACTGAGTCCTAACCACTGGACCGCCAGGGATTCCCCCAAGAGAATGTTGATGGTCATCATGAGTTAGCAAGCACCTGTTTCCTTATTTTATCTGCACCTCCCCCATTGCTGGGTGTGCATGGGGTCTGAGTCTTCAGCTTCAGTGGCGGAGGGGAGTGAGCTGGCACCCCCAGACCAACTGGGAGACACCCACACGCCTGGGGCCACAGGCTGGCTGAGGGGCCAGGATAGGGGACAGAGCGTCAGCCTGGCCCGAGCCCTTCCTCCAGGGGGTGTGTTTGCCCACAGCCCCACTGCGTCCCTCAGCCTCATATGTGAGCCTGGGGCCTTGCCTTGCAGGTGGCCTGCTACAGCTGCAAGTCCGGGCAGTGGTCATCCGTCTGCCCGCTCCCAGCAGGGCATGGTGAGCCCGGAATCGCCGTGCTAGACAACAGGATCTATGTGCTGGGTGGCCGCTCGCACAACCGGGGCAGCCGCACTGGCTATGTGCACATCTATGACGTGGAGAAAGACTGCTGGGAGGAGGGCCCGCAGCTGGACAACTCCATCTCGGGCTTGGCGGCCTGCGTGCTCACCCTGCCGCGGTCCCTGCTCCTTGAGCCGCCCCGCGGGACGCCTGACCGCAGCCAGGCCGACCCGGACTTCGCCTCTGAGGTGATGAGTGTGTCTGACTGGGAGGAGTTCGACAACTCCAGTGAGGACTAGGGTCCCAGGCCAGGTGGGGGGTGCGGGGGGTGGTAGCTCCCAGCTTCCCCCACAGCACTTTGCCCTGGAGCACTTGACCCCAGGCTAGCAGCGGCCTTCCCTCCCGCCACCTCCCATCGGCAGGTATTTTTGGGGCCCTGCAGACCTGTGGCTGTGGATCACCCCACAGTGGGAAACCTTCGGGAAGGGCTCGGTCCCCTGAAGTTCACCGGGCTCTCTCCTCCTCAGCAGGGATGGGCTGTGCCGCCACCAGCTGTCCTGGCCTCCCTGCTCCCTGGTTCTGGTTCCTACTGGGCCGAGAGGGCGCCATTCTCCCAAGGGACCTGGGGACTGGCCCCTGGTGAGGGGGCCAGGGCACATCTTGTCCCTCTCGTCGGCAGGGAGGGGGCGGGCTGAGCCCATCGCCTGCCCAGCAGCTCCCAGGGCCGGAGGGGGAGAGAGATCCATCAGGTTGCCTGAGGCTGATTCTGTGATAAAATGATGCCCTGTAGCTGGGCTTTTCGGCCCCCGTGTTGTTGATAAATGAAATAAATCATCTTACACGAGGTGTGCATTGCTTTCCTTTGGCCATGGCCTCACTTCCTTTCACAGCCTGTCCAAGGCTGCAGCCCTGGAAGCTTGGTTTCTGGGGGGCAGAGCTGTTGGGGGCAATGGGAGGCCGAGAGCCCACCCCCAGGCTAGAAGGGTGTCACCAGGACGCCCGCTGCAGTCTGGTGACTGGTGGTTGCCCGCCCACTTGAGCATTTTCCCTGGTGAGGACCTCTTCTCTGAACTTGAGTCCAGTCCCAGGTGGCCGTCTCAGCCCCAAGTAAAGCCTAGCACCTGGGGAGGGAGAGAGAGATGCCTGGGCCTGCCCACCTCCTGCATCTGAGCATGTGGTGGGGAGGGGGCGCTGCATTTCCTCCAGGTGAGTCTCCAGGGCCGTGCTCCAGCAGGTGGGACCTGTGGGCAGGCAGGGCTTCCAGCACCAACCTCACTTCTGCACAGCCCAGCCTCCATCTGAACATCCCCCCTCCTTTGGGGTCCTCATACCACACCCCCTGCAGACCCCTAGGCCCGGGAATGGATCGGGATGAAGCCCCAGTGCTCTATTCTCTGTTCTTTCCCGGCCACCTGGGACAGCTGGGTCTTTGTCCCCGCGCCTTGCCTACAGCCTGCTGCCCTGGCGCCCTGCCATGGAAGAGGGGGGCAGAGGGACGTTGTGTGCTCCTTGGTGGGAGGAAGGGCATGGTGGGTGCAGGCAGCCAGCTGCTCTGGACTCCTTTGGGGGTACCCTGAAGATGGGTGGGGGAGCGAGGCAGTCGCTGTGTGTGTGACTGCTGTCTTGGGGCCCAGGTACCCCTGAGGAAACGTGCCCTACTCCCTAAACCCACGTGACATCATGCACTTACACTTCAGGTGGCAAGCCCAGGGTTGACCCTGATGGTCGCTTCCAGTGGGACAGGATGGCCACTTTTGCAGTGTCACCCTCCTGCTCCCAAGGGTGAGGTGTGGGAATGTGAGTTTGGAGTAGGAACCCAGCACTTCCTGTCTCTGCCAGCACCTTGCAGGCCAGGGCTGAAGTCCCTGCAGACCCCAGAGGTTCCTGGGAAGGAGAGCCAGAAATGTCCGCCTCTGCCCCCAAAATGTGTCCTAGGTTGACAGTGCTATCTCTCCACCCAGACACCAAGGCACAGCTTTTGCAAGAGACCTCTGGTCTGCAGTGGAGGCGGGGAAAGGTCTGTGAGGCCCCACAGGGCATGGGGTGGGGTAGACATGAGCCCTGGAAGGGATCCTGAGAGCTGGGCAGCAGCCTAGCCCTGCCACTGTCCAGCCTAGCATTCACCCACCGCCAGCAGCCCACCAGCTCCTGCCCCTGGGCCCAGGCAGCCGGCTTGCCAGCTTGGCAGGCTTTCAGGCCCTGCATTCAAGCCTTTGCTTCACTCGTGGCTCATCCCTTTCTGTCTGCAAAATCCTCACCCTTCAAAGTTGGCCTCCCCCAGGAAGTCATCCTGGCCAGAACCGGTCGGCCCAGGCTCCTGGCTCCCACGGTCTGCATGCTGGTCAGTCATATGGGTGCCTGTGAACCCCCAGCTTCCTCAGCCTGGTATTCACCTGGCACTGGCTGGGCAGACAGACGATCATCCACTCCACCTGCACTCAGTCTCCTGATGGAGATGTGGTGGTTGGTACAGACGTGGGCCCTGCCCTCAACACCTGAACTCACCATCAAGTGCAAGGTGGCTGCGACAGGACACAGGCGGGGGGTTGTGGGTCTGAGACGAGGATGGTGATGGTCCTGTCCTACGGGCACCAGACACAGGTGGTACACGGATGGGGTGGGTAGAGATTTGTGACATTCAGGCATTCAGGTGTTGCCCCCACAGAGGTGGGGCTGTGGGGCGGGAAGCAGCTCTGGGGAGAGATGAGGGAGTTTGAGATGCCTGTCCATGAACCCAGTCTAGCTAGGGCAATGCCTCTAAAGTCAGGAGCTGGGCAGACAGTGCAGCCACACAGACCTCTGCTGGCCTCCATTGCTGGCAGCCAACGGGGGTTCCATGGGAGGGGCCCGGGCACTGCTGAATTCAGGGCCATGGCCAGGCAGAGCTGCCCAAAAGTGGTTGGCCTTTTTACTTGTCCCAGAGAAGTGTTTGCATTCATGACCACATGGGTGCAACTTCCCTGCCACCCTCCCCAACTGTGCCTCCGTCCTGCACCAGCATGGCTCAGGGAAGGGCCCTAACCTCCGAAGCTCCCTCCCATCCCAACTTCTGCCAGCCTGGTGATGCCCACAGCCTTGAGCCTTTCAGTGGCCCTTATTCCAGGCCCCCTCCGCCAGCCCCACCCTTCCAGATGGGGTCCCCGCATAACTGAGGCAGGACGCCACCTCCCCTCCTCAGCAGCTGCCCTCTCCCTGCCCAGGCCCTTCCACCAACTCTCAGGTCCTCAAAAGCCCAGCTCATCTTTTCGGGGACCTGTCTGCCCCCCTTTTTGTTCCATCCCCAGCCCTGCCCATCCTGCCCACCCCATGGGCCTGGGGTTGGGTCTGACCCCTCTGTTTCCAGGGCCCAGGGTTCCTCTTCCTGCTGGTCCCCCTAGGCCCTCCTCAGCCCCTTTCTCTGCTGCCCCTGCTCTGCTCTGTGCTGTCACCCCACCCCTCCCGAGGCAGGAGCTCCCACGACTCCAGCCCTGCCTCCACCTTCCGGACTTTCTCCTTGGTGACTAGCGGCCTCCAGCCCATCGTCACACCTTAACAGGGGCTGCAGGCAGGGTCTCAGTCCTGGAGCTGACCCCACCACCACCATACCGCCTCCCTCAGCCTCCGACACCTGCCTTTACCTCCATATTCTCTCAGAGCCCGCGCGGAGCCATTCGGCTCCCGGCATCTCTCCAGTCTGTTTCTACGGGGCCCCTTCACCCAGGCCTCTCTGGTCCAGACCGAGTCTACTCACAGGCCTCAAGCATCCGGCTCCGCCGTCGCTGCAGGCTTTGATTGAGCCCGGCGCTCGGGAGGCGCTGACTGCACAGCCGGACATAGAAGGGCCTCACGGGGGGAGCAGAGGCAGGCTTGCAGCCTTGACCTGGCGGTTCTGAGGCGCCGCTGGCCAGGGGGCTTTCGTGCGTCGCGCCTGGTCCCCACCCGCTTCCCGCCCCGGGCCTGGCCTCGCCGGGAGCGCGCAGGGGCCGCTTCTCTGGTGGGTATCTGGGGAAGGGAGGGAAAGGCAAGGCGACCGGTGATTCCTCGGGAGGGCCCCTTCCAAGTTCGCCCCCAAGTTTGCGCGCGGCCGCGTGGGGGCGGGGGCCGCGCGGAGGGGCGGGGGCGCGGCCGGAGGGTGGGGTCTGGCGCGCGGGGCGGGCGCTGCCGCCTGGCCGGCCGCGGCTGGCCCTGGATCAGGGAGCCGATGTGGAATTTCCTGCCCGGCCCGGCGCCCCTCCTGCCGCCCCCCGCCCGGCCGCGCACTCCGTTTCCGGCCGCTCTCGCTGCGGCCGCACCCGCGCCCGCGCCCGCCCCGCGCCTGCCCCGCGCCGCATGGAGGGCGCAGGGCCCCGGGGGGCCGGGCTGGTGCGGCGCCGGGGAGCCGGGGGGCCGCCGCCGCCGCTGCTGCTGCTGCTGCTCTGGCTGCTGCCCGGCCCCGCGGCGCCCCAGGAGCTGAGCCCGCGCGGCCGCAACGTGTGCCGAGCGCCCGGGTAGGAGCCGGCCGGGCTGGGGGAGGGGGCCGGAGGGACGCCCGAGGTCGGGGGGAGGGGGCGCCCAGGACCTCCCTGAGCCAAACGCGCGGGCCCCTTGGCCGCTCTCGCTGACTCCGGCTCCGCTCCAGGCCGAGCCCGGGCGCCGGGCCACGACGGTGCGTCCGAGGATACCCCGGGCGAGAAGCGGGCGAGGGTAGAGCGGAGGGCAGCGGACGCCCAGAGGGCTGACACACGGGGTTCGAGATTTCAGACCCAGGAAAGGGGACCCTTGGGCCGGATTGAAGACGGGAAGCTCATTCCAAGCCCATGGCATGGCATGTGCAAGGGCCCAGACACACGAGTGTGGCTTGAGCCGTGATGGAGGGAGGGTGAGCGTCCAGGAGAGATGGAGCGAGGCTCCTGAGAAGAGGGAGCCGCGGAGGTCTTGAGGCAGGCGAGTCGGAAGGACAGATTTGTGTCTTAGAGCCGGGCGCGGGTGGGAAGAGGGTGGTTATGGAGGTGGGCGTCGAGGAGCCTGAGCTCAGAGTGGCCCAGAGCGGGAATAGAAAGGACAATGACTTGCGCCGGCATCGGGAGGATGGGGGCCTCCCGGGTGGGGATACGGGGTGCAGAGGGGCGGCGCAGAGGTGGGCGCCACGAGGAGCGGGCTGGGAAAGCCAGTGTGGGACAGGAGGGGACAGGCCCTGCCGGAGGGCGCCGGGCCCAGGACCTTGCGCGGAGGTCGAAGAGCGCAAGCCAGGACCCAGGAGTGGGCGCAGGAGTCGGAGGATCCGGTCGGTCTGTCAGAGGCCACTGCGAGGTCAAGGGCATCTCCGCGCGGGGGCGAGGAGCCGGCGTGAGGGGGTGCCTTGGCGCGGGCGGGGGGCGCCAGGCAGGCGGGAAG